TTCTAAGCGAAAGTATAACCTTCACAGTATGTCCCAATGATGGAGTGTTAAGTTTTTGGGAACTAACAAACCATCAACATGAACACATAGACGTAGCCACTTCTTTGTCACGCCATCCCCAGAAACTCTTGTATCATCATCAGCTTTTTGGGTCGTGGGGCTTCCACATTTTTGTTGAGGTGCGATATATTGTGAACAAACCACCACAGTTTGTGGGTCATTTTACATCATGCCAAAGTATAGGGGTACATACAAGAATAAACCCTGATTGGGGCGGTATATTATCGCGTGTCCCACATTTTATTGGGATGAACGTTTAGATATGGCTCATTCGTGAGCCCACCGAAACCCACATGCTAGATCTGGGGAACAGCGCCGTGGAACAGACAGTTCCATCAACAGCACCCTCATCCGCTCTCAGATCATGAAGAGGCCTGGGCATGCGGATGTGTGCGCCAAATGATGGCACTTTCGAAGATGTAAAAGCCTCATTGCAAAAATTCATTATCATGGCCTGTATATAGTTTGCAGCAATCCCAGCAACTGGATGTACGGTATTGCAACCACCACTTCATGGAATGAACACATTGGCAAGGCCTGCGTTTTTTGGATTGTTCTGCAAGATCAAAAAATCCAAGTTGGCATGAACATGCACTTTTACATGTTCAACTTGAAAGGGCTTTTGCGCAATCGCTACATGGAGAGAAAATGATTCAGAACCATTGATGTTTTGGAAGGTCATGGTTTTGCAGCTACTGCTCCTCCCGGCCTTTGCTCGTTCTCCATGGAGCTGCAGCTGGAAACCTATGGCGTCAATGGCAACAAAACAGATGACGGCGAAACCAATTCTGGTGCCCTTATATAGAGCCTTGGAACACTATACCAAAACATACAAAAATTGTCTTGAAACACTAGAAGCGAATTTCAAGCCATTGACCTACTAAGGATGTCCCCATCGAGAACAAAGCAAATTTGAAAACCAACGTGTTTTCCAGACCTTCATGACACTGCAGGTTTCGAAGAAACATGTTCATGCTGAGAAGATTTGAACAGGTTCCACACACGTCGTCGAAGTATATTCGAACCAAGCCTTGACCGCAAAGCATGCTGAGCACGACCTTGACGATCACGGCGAAGCACCTGCATGCGGGCTTGGCTCGCTGTGGCACCATGCGTGGCAATGCTCGCTGGCGATGCATTTGTTGCACACAACGCTGCCTTCGAAACATCATTTACCATGGGTTTACAAACGACGAAAAGGTGAATGCCGATTTGGGGTTGTGATTGATTCATTGATTGGCACCATTCATCAAGCACTTCAGCCTGCTATTGTTTTTCACCACACGCTTTGCTTTGGTTCCTATATTCTCAAGTCATCAAGATTCAAAAACAGCATGACCATCATTGTCATGGGGTATGACTAATGAGGCAGAACCAAAGTTGATTCGAAATGCTCCTGCTGATCATTCGGCAACGCCGCTGCAACACTGGGCCCATGGGCATCAGCATGTGTGAGGGCCTTGCACTTCCATCATATGTGAATGCACTTGCGCTTCCCAAGGATAGCGTGGGGGTGCCACTTGGTTTCCTGGTCTGAAACACCTGCTTGAGCCGTTTGTGCTCCCTCTCCTCAGCATCATCCAGCTCATCACGGTCGCGGCGTTTGCCAATCTGATCATCACTCAATCCAAGCGCTTGGTTCAAGGCAACCAAACTTTTCTCTAACTTCTGCAGTTGGGTTTGTGCCACCGCAACCTCAGCCTTCACCTCAATGACCAACGCGAGGACATCAGTGATGAGATCCCGAACACTGTCGATAGGAAGCGCTGCCGCTGTTGGTGAGGACATCGCCATGGAAATCGAAACAAATGATACACGTGTTGCTGTTTAGGGACAACAGCCAGCCAAACTTCCAAAACGCAGATCCAATCAATTTCCGAACAACTAAGAAGTATCAAACAACGAATTTAAATGCATATCATAAGCATGATGATGAACATCGTTGATCAATCCTGGGTGTGGGCGCTCCAAAACTAATTCCTTGCGGCAACACATGTCTTGCGCACTGCTCCGCCTGCATGTCTTTTCAACAAAAAAGGAAACATCATCTTGGCTCAGGAACCTACTTTGGTTGAACTGAACCTTCATAGGGAGCTTTGCATGCCCAACCAGCATGGCTCTCAAGCTGGCGCAACCAACTACATCCAACTACATGAAAAGTATGAGTCAGAAACGATTGATCCGATTACTGACCTTTGGTCATATCGGACTTGTAGAAACTTTGTGGCGCAACTAGGATTTGTTCATCATCTAGCTGCTTGTACGCAAGAGACCCCTCAATGAGATCAGTGCTGACGAAATGTAATCCAGCATCAGGAGACATTCTGAACGTGTTCACACCACACTTTTCGAAGAACTGGACCAAAGTGAAAACACTCTCTCCGTATCGTACATGAAATTTCACCTTTGCCAAGGATGACGGCTGGCTAATGCACACAACGTCGTCAATGTGACAACGACTTGCTGTGGGCGAAACCATCAAGGTATCTGACAAGAATGAAACACCAGTGTGATGCATCCATGCGTTCACCATAGATGGTGGTGCCAGCTTCCATTCTGAATGATGGGTATGCTCCTTCAGGTCATGAATGTGCGAGAGGACCGCTTCCCTGAGAACGCTCCGCTCCATAGGCTTGTGACCGCTGTGCTGCTGGTTGGCGTACCTGATGTTGGATTTAGAAACGTGATACCGTTTAACTGTCTGCGTATTCCCAGGGGTGTATACATATAAACAGAATTTGGTCATTGGAAGAAACACACAAATGGTGAACAAAACCAACAGTGAACCAAGTCCATAATAAACCTGCAATGGTAAAGGCACCTTTTGAGAAGCTTATGTCGCCGTTCGTGAACAAAGCAGGTCGGCAGCTGAGAGAAACGCTCCAGCTGCAACGGCAAGTGCACGCTGTAGTGGTGTTTGGGTAAGTATGAGTCAACTCCGTAAGAAGCCTCACACACAACATCTAAATGCGATGATGGTAACTCAGCTCGTGTATAGGACCATGTATTGCACATGAAAAACAACCCGCACATTGAACTTGAAAACAAACTCTTATACAATTCACTTTTGAACTTGCAACAAGGAACTTTGAAAGCAACCAAATGCGCTTCAATCTTCTCACGCAGCAACAGTGGTGTAATGGAACCGGTCGCAGCATGCTTCAAGGAGTCTAGGACATCGCAGAGACGATAAAAGGAATCAATGCCCATTTTCAAGTCATGGCCCATTGTCTCCCTGTTGATGGTTTGGAACCTCGCACGCAGCAATGGATATACTGCTAGCACCTCTGACGCCGTAGCCTTGAAGTCACCTTCGAACTTCTTCCTAAATACATCTTTCGCTGTGGCACCAGAACTGCGATGAATGTGCAGAAATGTGAACGAAGTACACCAACTATGTAAATCAGCTTCTTTCACTCTCTGCGCAGACAGCAATGGCAACAACAATGTCATCTCTCTTTGAAAAACGCCTGCCACTAGATACACATGCATGGGATCGAAACATGTCATGCTAATCGGCTTCCACTTCTCACGCATGCTTCTGTCAAGAAGAACACCACCTGGGACATAGTTGAAGCCAAGACGAACTTCTAATTCTGAGAAAGCCTTTTTCGTTCCAATGCCAAACCGTGAGTCGAGGTGATCTACGATCTGCCACACGGAGGTATCACTGTGGAGACAAAGCTTTGAAAGATCATGCTCATGATGAGGGACCAAGTTCCCCAAATTCGCAGGAGCGTACCGTGCCTGAATTGTTGTTTGACAGAAAAGGCACAGCATTTTTCCTGAAGCACCCTTGTTTTCCTGTGATAGTTTTATTGCTGACTCGTCGGCGAGATACATACCAATGCGAAAGCACAGCATTTCTGTGCCATGAAGTAATCGCAAAGAAATTCCGGTCTCCAAGTTGCCGTTGGGGAGTGAGAAAAGTTTCACGCATTGAAGAAACAGGTGTGACAACCCACCCTTCATTTGTGTAACAGTCTCAGATCGAACAACAGTCAATACGAACCAACAGTCTTCTTGGCTGAGCTCATATCCTCCGAATTGCATCACAGAGAAGTAAATTGCCCAGAGCTTACGTTTGTTGTTAATTTTCAACTGGTTGCCAGGCGACACTTCGTCAAAATAAAGTGCCAGTGTCCACGGGTGAGCCAAGCTGTTTGAATGACTCTCCGCGACCTTTGTCAGAAGATGCTGCACTCGACTGCTCACGTTGGACACATGGTGAAGAATGGCTGCAGGATGGCAAAAGGGCAACTCCAACTTTGACCCATCTGTCATTTCTGCTTGAAATGACTGAATCAAACTACCGTATGGAGTCTCCACTGCACACGCTTCTTCTTTTCGTCTCTTTACAGTCGACTTGCTGGTGTGGCTCGGCACCTCGCCACTTTCTCTCACTTTTGTCAACACTTCGCTGAGTGCATTTTGGCTCATGAAAGACCGTCTGCCAAGCGCAGATATATCCAACACCATGGTGGCTTGTATCCAGAGACTGATGCACCGTGTGAGGATGTACATTTCACATGAAAACCAATCTTAGTCATACCATGTATAGATACTTCACTTTGATTGAGTTCTCTCAACATGATCCAAAACATACTGCTTGAATCTAGGTGGCCTTGCTCATGGTGACGAGTGGAACATGCGTCTCAAGAGTCACGGGTCCGAAAAGGCAAGCTGCTGACAGAGTCGTTTGTTTGAGCTGCACTCCTTTCTCTGATTTGAACCTCATGCACCTTCACCTGTAGTATGAACACATAGACATGAACATGAAGAACAACTCCAGCATTCCTTGTGGTGATTCCTAAACAAACTTTCCAGCATGTTTGGGAGAAAGCATGAGCGCATATGAGAACGCTGCAAAGAAGCACCAACTCATTTTGCGGTCTCCTCTATACAGCATATCCAGCGGCCACGGCATGCATATACACTGACTATGAAGAAGGCTCACCCGGAAAGCCATAGGCCTGGGCCTGCGATAAGATCCTGAACTTGCTACCGTCTGGCGCTTCATAGTGTTTGTCATTCTGGCCGGACGCACGGTGGCGAATTTCAAGCGTCCAACCTTTGGAACATTTCACTATGGTCTTGTCCTTCTTAATTGCAGCTTTCCCTGCAGCCTGTTTTGCTGAAGGCTTCGCCTTGGGCGTAGCCTTGGAGGCAGCTTTGGCTTTGGAGGCTGACACCGTATGCTTCGAAGCAGGTCTCTTCATCATCTTAGCATCTGCATCCCCCCTGCCATCACCTACACCAGGCAATTCTAACAAGACTGCATGCTCAGCAGGCTTTGCCATGGATCCTGCTGAGGGGCTCGGCTCTGGCTCTGGAGGTTTGACTGAAGGTGCCACTGCAGGAGGTTTCACTGAAGCTGCTGGAGGTGATGGGCTCTCGTTTTGCTCAATGACATTGCCATCTTGGAGCGCCAATGGAGCCGGAGCATCAGCAGCAGCAGCTGTAGGCACATCACACAGCGCCTTCTGCCGCTTTCCGGGCCTTAGGCCCATGCCAGCGAAGGCTTCAGCAGAGCCACTTGCATCTGGATTTCGGCCAGCGAATTGATTGAACATGCTCCACATGCCCATCATCATCATGTTCATGTCCACATTCTGCTGTGCGATGTGTCCAGCTGGAGGCACATGGAGGGTATGTGCCTTGGGGTTATCACTTTTCACCTCAGCCTTGCTTTTGCGCAAAGTCATGTTCTGCATCATGCATTCCTGTTCATCTAAAGCTTTTGGCGGGCTGTCGGCATATGCAGAACCATACCATTCCAGGTCAGAAGGCTTTGGTGGAAAGGTCACCAAATGAGTTTGGATGATCGCTGGCTTCTTGTGCACTAAACGTTTCAGGTCTTTCAATACGTTCACCTGAGACTTCGCATCTCCCACATCAAGCCCGGCGACTTGCGCTGCCTGAAGCACCACTCGCCAACTGCTTTCATGGGGGAGGTGCAATCCGATTTTCACCATGCGAACAGCGATACCTCAGCAAATCTTGTTCAAGGTGATGCAAAAACACGGTCTGCATTACACGCATGGTCATCATGAGAACTGCCCTCAATTAAACGGACGCCAAAAGAAAGAACCTGGCATGAGACATGATCCAAAGCCCCCTCAGAAAAGCTATGAAAACCCAAATGCTGTCCAAAGGCATTCCAGCTTGGTGGAAAGTGTGGTCTCCTTGTCCCCCAAAGTCGCGCAGTCTTTCTCACTGAAGTAATGTGCGAAGGATGCCACGGTCTGAGTCTCCCTTCGCGCTTTGGTACGGGAGCCTGGACTGCTGTTCAACAGCTGCTCTCCGCACCAACTTCCTAGCGAAGCCTTCTGGGCATCTGACCATGGTCCTTTGGACACCAGCGCTGTGAAGGCTTTTGCCCCTTCAGCTGAACACTGCAAAGTCCTCCTCGAAATCTGACTTGCATGAGACTCTAGCATGGCCTGGATTTGACTCTTCTCACAAACAGCTTTCTGCGCTTCTATGAACTCATGCAGGCCCTCTACCTCTTTCAACAGGTTGTCCCAACCATGCGCCATGACGCGCAATGACCAACCACTGCTGAATCGATCTGAAACAGTGACCGTCGAACATACAAGCATTACAAGCTGCCTTCGCATGGACCATGACATGTGTTTGGAAGACCTGCGAAAGAACAGCTGTCTGAAAAGTCTTGTCTCTGCTACTACATTCAGGCACTCATGAACAAACAATTGAAAAAACATGTTCTGCTGACACCCCGGCGACCCATTCCCATGCCAAGGACAACTCTTGACGTTTTTTTCAACTGCTGCAAGGACAGTGAATGTAAGCATTTACCTATAAATAGCCACACACCTCCAGTGTTGCTGTACAGAATGCTTTTTTTGAACAAATTGGACATCTCAGCTCACCTCATGGTTCAGGCTCTACAGGACCATCTGCATTCTCGAAAGGGTCTGAAACTCTGCGGTCCTTTTTGGGAGTTTTACTGCAATCACGTTTCCTCCTGCGTTTTCTCTTGGGAGACGCTTTTACGACGTCATCCGAAGCCTTGAGGGCAGCCACGCAGTATTTGACTACACTCTCATTCAACTCAAGCCAAAGCTCACCCTTGGTCTGCCACAAAGCTTGACATGTTGTTGCCTGATGGCCTTCGACAGCTGGAAGGTTCAGTTCAACTTGGGATTGTCCAACTAACCAACGATCATCATCCTCTGCATCCCTGAACTTTTGGTTCTCGGCTATTACTTGTCCAGCGTGTTCCATGTTTCCACGCAAGATAGCGTGATATGCATCATTGCAGGCTTGTTTTCTAAGTTGCTGCATATCAGGCCACCACTGTTTGTTGCTGATGGTTCGAACAGCGCCGTGTTTCTTGTGGCGATTGATAGCTTTCCCAAGCACGACCTTTGCGAGGGTTCTGTCATGCTTTGCAAGTTTGAAGTACACTGTGCCCTGAGCAGTCTGCACATCTGGGTACCAAACAGTCCTACCAATGGTGACAGCAAACACTTGCGCAATCTTCACAGTTTGAACAGCTTCGGCATCTTCAGCTTGGGAGTGATCTGATCCATCAGAAGCCATGATGGACAGCTGGACAGGTTGATTGCTTGAATGTGTGAGTCACATGTAATAGAGTATGGTCTCTAATGATGAGCCACACTGATCACTATAGTGGCTATGATGAAGACCATGAATGCCTTTGGATCATCATGGACAATGAGGTTCATAATGCAAATGTCATATATGCGTGGGAGTTCAGTTGGCGTAAAGCTATTCAAGTGCACACACTGTGGGTTGCGAGCAAGCCCGCAAGACCCTGACCGCGAGCCAACGCCACGCGTGTCATGATGGTTCCATGGAGCTTGCACTCCACACCATGCGAGAAAGCTAGATGATAGCACGAGAGAAACGACATGGAAGAAAAAAGCAACAGTGCAACTCCTTTAGCGCTGAACTCTAAATACATCGAACAAAAGGTCATGACACCTGGCACACATGAGTCACAAATCCCATCTCATGTGCAAGACGACCGACAGGGGCGTGCCAGTCAGCCTGCCTCTCGACATGACAATGTAGAGGTCCACCAAGCCGAAGATTCCTGCAGCAGACCGCGTTGGGAAAGTGTTCATGAATGAGTGAAGCTGGTCGGAGTAGTGAGAGGGAATGCAATCGTAATATCCCAGTGCTTCTGGTCGTGCATCATTGGGTAGAAGTTGGTTTCAAACATGATGCAAACCAATTCATATGATAAGTCATTCATATCCCAAACTTGGAAAACACAAAATGTCAATGAGGAATTTTGTGGGTCCACAAAATGGCACTATGACACGGTGTGGAAACACAAAATGGCCAAGGTGGACCTATGAACATTTTGTGTTTCCACAAAATGGCGCATTGACACTTTGTGGAAACACAAAAGGACCAAGTGGATTTTTATGGAACCACAATTCTGCCAATTTATTCGTTGACTCAATGAAAACAGGAGGGGGTAACTCTCGCCAATTTTTTCCCAGACCCTTTTGAATTTCAGCTGTCAATTTCTAATCAAACCACAATTTCCCAAACATGAAAACTATGGAAAATGAGGAACAGTCAGCATTTTTTCAACAGGTCAAATCTAACAAAAGTTGCCAATGTCGTTGCAATCACGTTTGCATTTCCCGTACTTAGAGAAATTCCCCAAACAATCGATCACTCAAACCCATGTTCCTCACATCGGACCCACCCAGCGCCACCCTCCCTCTTTTTTGCGGTGCTCACGCTGCCGCAGCAGCGGAGGATGTCAGTTGGCATCATTGTGGCACACGGCCTACCTCTTGAAGTGTAGAATCCATTCCTAGCAGGGTGGTGAATGACACTACACTGAGGTTACCATTCCAGCCGCAACATCTCCGATCAAAAATATTTCTCTCACTGTATTGTCTCTTTTAAATGTGAATCCAATAATTAAAAACATATTGTTGCAGTTGCCTTGGGATCGCCCTTGTTCATATAGTTGGGTATACATACCATTCAACACTGGAGATGCTGCCTCATGCACGCGCCAGCCAACAGCCTTCACAGCAATCTCTGGATAGAACCAATATGTTTCTATTAATTGTGGTCGTTGTTTCTTTAAATGGGCGTGCGGGGACAAGGCTTTGGCAGGGTCAGCCCGGCCAGCGGCTTGTGCTGATGCGAGCAGCTCAGATCCACGGGGCTGTGACGCAGGCAATGCGATTACTGCATTGCTGCCTTGAAAGTTTTGAGCAAGTCATGACTTGAATGTGACCATGGATGATTTCATGCTTTGCGCAAAGCACCACAGCGCCCGAAAACTGTTTGCCTTTCGGCGAGTATCTGGGGGCATATCACGATTCGACTAAAACATTGCAGTCACAGATGTCTACATCAACATCAACCGTTGATTGTCTGTTGACTATCTCTACTTTCCAAGGTGATTACCCCACTTTCATATTTCCGCGGTAATGGCCACGGTGTTGGCCCATCATGGAGACCTTCACTTTGACACTTAGGTTAGAACCAATGATCCACATGCTAGTCTTTCTGCAGTGTCATTCAGCTCAGTGTTGGACAATTATTACTATGATGACATCTATCAACCCATATTCTTCTCCATGATTCGGGCAAGGCTGCCGCACACCTCTATCATCTGGTCCATGCGGTCATCCTTCGCTTTGTTCGCCCGTGCTTTCTGTACTTTCCACCCTGCACGGACCCTCTCACGGCTGCTTCGGGGCCTTAGCATTGACAACAAAGGACAAACTGGGTAGTGATTTCATGCAGACTCTGTTGTAATTTGAATCAGCACTTTTGAACTACATGTTTTAACAACATGTTTCCTGTAGCGTTAGTTGGACATGGCATGAAATGTTGTTTTCAAAAGACTCGCTGCATCTATGCATTGGCATGTGAAGCTGTGGCAAGATATGCGAAATGAAGACACCAAATCAATACTTAGAACATGTTGCACGACCCGTGATCAAAGTCCATGCATCATACCCCACTATATAGTTCACTCAAAGGCACTGCTTTCCACTGTCCGACGGCTGTGGTGGTGGTGGCGGCGGCGGCATTGGAGGCGCAGCCATACCCGGAGGCGGGTACTTTGGTGGCGGCAGGGGCGCCAACAGCGGTGGAGGAAGTGGGCGCATAGGACCAGCCGACCATCCTTTGCCACCAGCCGACCATCCTTTGCCACGCGCTTTGCCACGCGCTTTGCCACGCCCTTTGGGATGGCCTTTTCCAGCATGCCCTGCAGCTCCGCGATTCCAGTTCTTCCAAGTAGGTGGGCACTTGGGAATCAGCTTCAGATGGGTCGCCTTTGGTGGCGGGTTGATCCCCACCTTCATCATGGTATCCTCCTCCTCCTCCTCCTCCTGATCCTCCACCTCTTCCTCCACCTCTTCCTCACGTTCTTCCTCGAGGACCTCATCATGGCCCATCTCATCGCCAGGTGGAACCACATCATCCTCAACAGGCCAGACAAGGTCCTCATCCGGAGTCACGTCTCCTGGACGGAAGGCCGTAGCCAAGGAAACAGGTATATGAACATGTTCGAGCTGAACCTACGTAACTAACAATAACGTAACATCAGTGCTGCATGATGTTGAATGAGACATGTGTGGCATGATTTGCAACTACCTGTCAGTCCCATGGTGACTCAGGCAGAGAAGACCGGCCGGCCCCTATAGCACTCAAAAGTCATCCCCAAGTCATCTCAATTGGCGTGCATGTTTGAACATATGTACATACGTATACATATTTCACTCAGTCCTTCTGTCTCAGCAGTCTCTCTCTTGCTCTTGGCAATCATCTTGGGGCTCTTGACCACGACGCGAAGCGGCTTGTATGGACACGGCCGCGCCTTCGATTTGATGTTATGGCGACGTTCCCACATGCGGCGGAGCTGCAATGCGTTTGCGTTGTCCCAACGCACATGCATGAGTAATGTTGCTTATGCGTGGATGAGCTACTCCGTGATATCATTGTTCCACATGCAAACTGCTGTGCAATCCCCTCATGCTTTCACATGCGCCTTGTCGGCGCGAGCCTCATTCCGTCTTGAACCAGGAGGGATGCTGGGTTGAAAGATGCATCTGAGACATGAGGGACACCAAGGGGTTCTATACCGATCTGATTCTGATGATGTAAAAGAATTAGACCCATGGACCCTTACAAAAACAAAATGCAGACTTTGAATGAGTTTTGGGAGAGCAACAAATTGATGAACCATTGCCATGGTAGACACAATGTGGGGAGAAGTGGACCAAGATATACCTATCTCCAAGCTTGAACTGTCCTATCTTGGCTTGGG